GAGTGAAGTGAAATAGAACCTGCAGCTTACTTTCAAATGGTTCAACAACTGTAAAAATTAGGGGAGAAAGGGAAAATGTGGCAAAATGTCTACTATTGGGCGATTGTTGTATGACTCTTACTACTTTTCAACGGATTTTACAACTTTCAGATTTAAAAGTGGGGGAGGAAAGAAAAAGTCATAGATATTTACATTTAATGGTAAAGTCTGACTGGCAATAGGAAGGAAGACCAAATGTACAGAGACCGAAGCTCAGAGCAATGACTAGCACGCATTGAGTTCTCCTGTGTGCCTGTGTGACTGGTGCCATGCTCAGTGCAAGTCTCCCTGCACTCTCACAGAAGCCCTGGGAGGCAGGTCCTGTCATCACCCTCAGTTTACAGATCAGCAAATGGCAGAACAAAGATTCGAACCCCAGTCTACCCAGATCTGAAGTTCTATATCACTATTCTAAAATGCCTCCCTATCTAATGTTTCTTTATTTTAAGAACAGCAGGAGAAAATGCTACATGGGCCCTTCAACAGGGGGATGGTTAAATAATCTGTGACATAGCCATTTAATGGAACAAGATGAAGCAATTAAAAGTCATGTTTTCAAAGAGTATTTGATGACAAGAGCATGCTAACAAAACGATGTCTGGTTTATAAAGCAGTGGTTCTTGCCCTGGCCTGAGTGGCTCAGTTGGTTGGAGTGTCATACCATACACCAAGAGGTGGCGGGTTCGATCCCAGGCTGGGATGTGTACGGGAGGCAGCCAATTGATGTTTTCCTCTCAATTTTTCCCCTCCCCACTCCACTCTCTAAAATTAATTTAAAAAAATAATAATAAAAAGCAGTTGTTCTCAGAAAATGGTACTCCAACACAACTCTTGGTTACTGAATTCTTTTTCTGCAGGAAAACAGGAGTAGGTACACTGGAGGGTGAATTCAGGGCTCTTTTGCCTCATCTAAGTTACGCTTAAAAAATGCTGAGAACTATTACCACATATTTTGAATTATGTAAAAAAGTAAAAACCTATACACATATGCAGAGAAATATGATTATAAGGAAATATATCAAACCATTAACAGTGGTTTTCACTAAGTGGAGATCAATCAATCTTTATAAATTCTTTTTCATATTCTTTTGTTGAATTTCTACAAATGAACATACTTTAATTATATAAACAGGAAAAAAGTTTTTAGGAAATGGGGTGCACAAGGATCACCCCCCAACACACACACTAAGCTCACAGATACCAGGTCAAATTTTCTCCTTGAAATTCTATAAAAGTACAAACTAATGACAACAAAGGGAAGTACATGACCAAAATTTAAAAGGACAAAGAAAGAAGAAAACAACAGGATTCAGGTATTCCAGGTTGAAAACCACTCATTCAGTCAACAGCGAATGTATATTGGGTGCCAGGCGCTAGGGAGACAGAACAGAGAATGCTGTTCTCAGGTGGTGGAAATGTGCCTGAGAAGAACTACCAGGGAGGTGACATCAAAGTGCTGCTGGGGGCGGGGGGAGTCCTGAAGAATGAGGACAAGTTCCAAAGGCAGGAGGAATGTGGGACACATTTCAGACATTTGAAGGGCACACCCAAAGCAGAGAAATACAAAGAAATTCTGCTTGGCCCATGTTCTTCTAAAATACTGTTTGTATTCTTGTAAAACAATTTAAAAATAATATCTGCCATAATATAAAAGAGAAAGAAGGGAGGGGAGAGGAAAAGAGGGAGAGGAAGGCAGGGAGACAATCACAGCAGGACAGTACTGCGTGTGAGAGGGAGGAGTCAGGAGTGTGGCTGGCAATAAGGAGGCAAGAGAAAGTTTTCAGCAGAACTGTCACATAATCAGGAGGAGCTGAGAAGGGGGGTGATGGTGGGGCACTGGAACTGAAGTGGAGGGAACAGAGCCAAGAGATGACAAAGTAGAAGTAAGGGACTTGGGAACTGATTAGATGAGTCAGAGATGTCCCTGAAGCTCCAAGCTTTTTGGTGACAGGAAGGACAATAGTGCAGTCTAACAGAGCTTTAAGAGAAGCAGCAGCTTGGTGGCAGACTGAGTAGGGCTGCGAAGGTCTTCATACCTGAAAGGACTCACAAGTAGAAGAACAAGGGGAGGTATAACTTTGTCACTGGGTGTAAAAAAAGCTAATCACAGCCTAAGAGTGAGAGAAGCAAGGTGGGTAGCGTAGGTCAAGACCACTGATTGCTCAGCTAGAGGGTATTCGGGCAACATTCAGGCACCTGGTGCTACCCACAGGCGAGTCACTGGAGGAGGCCACTCAAAAAAAGCTTCTCCTGAGAAGGGGAAGTTCTCCCAGACAGGAAAATCCCAACTAATAAGTACAAAAGGAATTACAGAATTAGAAGAACTATGGTAATCACTGTCTCCAGCAAGAATCATCAATGGATACTAAAACTAGTGGGTGAAAGTGTTAGGAGAAACCAGATACTTACAGTCTCAAAGTACCTCCCTACAAAATACTTACTCATTACAAAGGGGCAAACAGTAGCTTTACAGTGGAGACGCTTGGCAGACACTACCACCTTAATCAAGGGATCAAAGTAGACATCTCCAGCGATGGGACAAACTGACATCACGTGCCACGTGGTGTGATGCAGTGAGGACACAGCATTGCTTCCCTGCTATTTCTGCCAAAAGCACAAACCTGAATCTAGTCATGAGAAAACATCAACAAAACAAAACAAAACCAAAAAACCCCACAAAGAACAAAAACCTAAGTTGAAGAACATCCTACAAAATAACTGATCTGTAAGCTTTAAAACTATCAAGGCCATGAAAAACAGACTGAATGGTTTTAGATTAAAGGAGACTGAAGAGATTTGACAACTAATGTAATATCGAAACAAAAAAATTGTCTTTTGCTATAAAGGACATTAAAGGAACAACTAATGAAAAGAAAATGTCTACAGATTAGATAGGTTAGTACTGCATCAGTGTTAATGTCCTAATTTTTTAAATTGCATGGTGATATAAGAGAATGTTTTTAGGAAATACCCACTGAAGTATTTAGGAGTAAAGGTGCATCATATCTGTACCTTTCAAACATTTCAGAAAAAAGATACAAATACATAGAGAAAGAATGATACAGGGAATGTGGTAAAATGTTAACATTTATGGAACCTGGGAATTTTTGTAACTTTCCTAAAAATCTGAAATAAGTTTAAAAAATAAATTAAGGGAAAAAGTGCCCACCTCTCCTTCCAATACTACAAACTATCTCTCTGAAATGTTGGGACAACTAGAGAGGCTTCAATCACTGAATTGCTTTGTGTAGATTTCCTCCTGACCCAAGGGAGAGGTGCCAGGAAGAAACTGATACAAAACCAGTATCCAGCACTGGCCAGTTTGGCTCAGTTGGTTAGAGTATTGTCCCGTGCACCAGAAGGTCACAGGTTTGCTTCTCCATCAGGGTATGTACCTGGGTTGTGGGCTTGATCCCCAGTCGGGACGTGTATAGGAGGCAACCGATCAATGTCTATCACATTGATGTTTCTCTCTCCCTTCTTCTCTCTCTAAAATCAATAAACATACCCTTGGGTGAGGATTAAAAAACACACAAACCAGCGTCCAAAAGATGGACACACTCAGAAAAAGCTTTAGGTACAGAATGGACTCAACAAAGTTGCAGATCTGCTGTGATTACAGAAAGTGCTTAATGTGATTCAACCCTGGTGTGCTGCAGAGAAAACCCTGGAAATAACGACAAAGTCTTTAATGGGCTTCAACTTGAAACCTGCTTTCCCTGATTCCGCACATCCTGAAGAAATATTAATACCAGTTACTCAACTTAATATGATGATGCTTAAATTATCAGCAGAGCCTGGCAGGCTGTCCACACCACACAATACCTCGTATCATTACAGATAACATGGGAACCAGGAAGAACACATAGGGAGGCCATAATCTGCACCTTGGTTTCAAATCGGTTTAAACCTACATTCTTGAGCTCAACTATTAATGCTCAAGAATTCAGGTAACCCCATGCCCACCGGACATCCTTCTCCTCAAAGCTCATCACTTTTGAAAGCATCCAGAAGAACAAGGGAAACAATAGCATGAAACTAGAAGTTCCAGGGGGTTCAAAAGACGTGTTTTGAGAGCTCTAAATAAGCAAAATAAACATTTTAACACAGGTAAAATTGCGTCACTTCAAGAACAAGGCATAAAAATGTTAAGACAGTTGACCTTTGCAATAACATCACGTTACCAAGTGGTCAGTGGAGTTGAAACACAGCTGTTTGACTAGAGGATACCCAAGCATCTAGCTGGTTTTTTACCTCAGTAAAAAAAAAAAAAGTCTATCAAAATACAAACCTCAGGCACCTAATCAACGGCCAAAGGCTGTAACAGTCACAACTAGTCATTCATTTCATTAAACCAGAATGTGCCTGGCCGGGCGTGGCTCAGCAGTTGAGCGTCGACCTAGGATTCAGGCGATTGGGGTTCGATTCCCGGTCAGGGCACATGCCCGGGTTGCGGGCTCAATCCCTAGTCGGGGGCGTGCAGGAGGCAGCCAATCAATGACTCTCTCATCATTGATGTTTCTCTCTCTCTCTGAGATCAATAAAGATATATTAAAAAACAAAAAAAAACAACAGAATGTATACCATTTGTGTCCAGTCTAGTACTGAGGACACAATGAGAAATAAAACTCTTTCCCCGCCCTCAAGAAGCTGACAGACAGGCTGCATGCTATGACAGGGAGCTGGGGGACACAGAGAAGGTACCTAAAGTGGCCACAACTGCAGCCCTGAGAACAGGACTGCTCCCGTGTTCTGAGAGCTCTATCAGACCCGGCACCACAGCCTCACCACTATGGAGACGGAGGGAGAAACCCTACAGCTGTCGAGACTGCTCAGCTCCTTCTCAGAAAGCAACTCACACTAAACGAGAGCCGATTCCAGAATCTCCAAATGGCTTAGCCCTCTGCAAAGCACCCTGTAGACAGTGAAAGCTGTAATTGGCGCTGAGGTAACACGCTTACCTGTGGCTTCAATGTACTCAATGCATCTCTCAATAAAAACAGGAATTGGCTTCTCTGGAGTCACGACGGTTGTTAAGGGGACCCCAAAATAGTTACTCTCCCAGGTTGCCTTCGTGATGGATGGCCGGGGTTTGGGCTTTGGTTTCTGTCCAGGAAAGAGAAAAGAAAGCAGAAAAACAAAGTGAGTCTCATCATGCACCTACACATCAGGAAGGCTTCCCGAAGGGAACCCACAGTGGTGTGGAAACTGCTGGAAAGGTTCCAAGCAGGATAAAGAGACCCACTTGTTTTGTATTTTCTAGCCTCCAAATATCACACAAGATGCCAGCAAGCTGCCACATAATCACATCTTGAGTGTGAGACTGCATTGTCAGAACAAAGGTGTTTATAAGAAGCAGGACATGTTTATTTAATAACAATGAGATGACTATCCACATCCTTTATCAGGGGTGCACTGGCATAAACAGGAAGTTTTCCAAACATTCCAAATGGATAATAGATGTTATATACTCAAAGATGACTAAACTCTTAAAAAGATAAAAGATAAAATTAAAAACTAATAATTTCCTCTTTCCAGGAAAGAGATAGGCATGTATTCTGCTAAGGCTGGATGAGAATTCCCTTAGATACATCAGCTTGGTGTCAATGGCTTCCACACTAGAAAAGGGTAAAACTAACTCATCAAATGTGACAAATAAGATAACTCTGTCTTTTCTTCCCCAGCAGTCACCTTCCTCAAGCAGGAGGGGTAGCAGCTGCAATTATTTGAGAGCTTACTATGTACCAAGCAAGTCCCAAATATTATTCCTTTTAAACCTCATGACATTCCATTTTACCAAGGACAAATGTCACATATCTAAATGACCCCAGTAAGTGACAGTTGCTGGGATTTGAACCCAGGAAAATCTGTCTCCAAAGACCCTGGTATTTTGTCAGTGGATCTTCATTACTGTTAGGAGTTACCCAGATTGTCGTGTATCCTCAATCATTTATCCAATCATCCAATTATTGCCTGCCTATCCCAAGAACTTTCTGAAGAAGGCAATGAACTCCAGTGGTCAAGAGCACAAGTTTTACAGTAAGACAGAACTGACTTGGGCAGGTAACTGAATTTTTCTAGGACTCAGCTTCATCTGTAGAATAGGGTTCTTAACACCCAAACCCACAGATCTGCTATGAATATGGAATGAAATAATGCATATTGCCCAGCCGGTGTTGGCTTAGTGGTTGAGCATCGACCTGTGGACCAAGCAATCACGGTTTGATTCCCAGTCGGGGCACGTGCCTGGGTTGCAGGCTAAATCCCCTGCGGGGAGCATGCAGTGGACAGCCAATCGATGATTTTCTCTCATCACTGATTGTTTCTATCTCTCCCCCTCTCCCTTTCTTTCTCTGAAATCAATAGAAAACGTTTAAAAAAAATAATGCATATAAAGAACTTAAGCAAATGTCTGCTACATAGTAGGTATTCAATTGATTGAAGCTAAATTTTCTAGCCAACTTAGATTGTTAGAAGACACCCCCTTGTCTTGTTCTAGTACTGAGATGGGGGAGGAAGTATAAGATTAAAATTTATTATGTATTTACTAGAACTATGGTTAGAAGGCTTTATGGTGATTAGAAATAGCTTCCGTGCAGCTTCTCTTAAAAGTTCCATTTTTTTAATTCTTCAACACCGGTTAATTTGGAAGCCTCAGTTTTATTGAATAACAGTGCTGCCGTTACTTTTGACAGGCAAATTCTGTCAAATTGGGATTGGTAAAAAGAATGTCACTAAAATCCATAGTTGTCTTTGTATATGCAGATTCTAGAGCTAATAGGTTAAACAGTATGGAGAGAACATTGCCTGATTCATTATCATCAGGCTGCAAATAGGTGTAATGACAAACACTCAGCCCCTGTCTTTCCATTAGTAAGAGCTCACATTATTGGGCGACTACTATGTACTAGGTACTGAGCCACCTCCCGTCCATCTTATCATTTCACCCTCATAACCATCTTATGAGCAAGGTGCTGTTCCTGAGATGCTAAGTCACTTGATCAAAGTCACAGAACTGTCTGTCAGGGTTCAAACCCACTTCTATTAGATTCCAAAGCTTAGATTCTTTATGTTGTGCTTCATATAAGTAGACAATGCTAAGGAGACAGTCTAGATTGGTTATTTCATGTAAAGATACATCATAAATCATTAATTCGTTTTTCCTTACTTCTTTGTAAAAAGTCTGAAGTCAGAGCCTGCTTTGCCTCAGGCAGTCTATACAGGAGATAGTGACAGCCACTCCCGGCCATCTGAGAGGCTATATCACTGGTCTCACAAGGAGTGGGCATATTGCAGTGGGCCAGGGAGAGGGCCAGGGCCAGGCTTTGTGGAGCTTGTGGCTCTTCTCTAGGACCCCAGGATCCATTCACATTGCACTGGTCCTCCATACTGAATCACTGAATCAGCAGTTAGGCTGTATGAATACAGGACTGTCTTTGCTTTTGGGTTGTCATTTCAGGCAATGTCAGCCTAGAAAAGGGCTTGTTCCTTCTTTTGTATATATTTTATTCTCAGCTGGGGTTTTTTTGTTTTTGTTTTTTGGGTTTTTTTGCACAGGAAGTCCTCAAAGAATCTAAGACTAAACAGGAAATGACCTGTTTTCATATAAAGGGTACCAAAGGAATGAGAATGGGCAGGATGATAAGGAAAGGGAATAGCTGACCCTGACCAAGAAGCTAATTTAGTGGACTTCATGCAGAGACCCCTAAATACTTTTAAGTTTATAGGTTGTGCACATTTGTAAGTAAATCTGCCCTTCTAAATTGGTCTTATAAACTTGGAAATGAATTGACTTGCTGGAGATATCCTGGGTCCATTTACTTTGATCCTATTTGGTTATCCCCATCTTTAGCTGGTATTTTAACAAAGGCCAAAATTTCAGTTGTATTTCTGTGGTTTCAGGAAATTTCCCATTTGTTTAGATCATTTTTTCCTCATGTGTGCTTTAAAATAAAGGGACTGAATCATTTTGGAGCAAATATATCAATAATGTTTATGAGCATCAACTGAGAAGGAAGGAAGGCTGGGACACTATGACAACTATTTCAAATAGCTTAGGACTATCTCATGCAAGGAGAACAAATTTTGTATGATTTCAAAGGGTGATGTTAGGAGAGATAAGAGGAATGCACAGAAAGGCAATTTTGGCCAATATAAAGAGAAATTTAAAAAACAAGAAAACCCCAGCTGTTTAAAAAGGACAGGTCTGCTCTGTAAGTATTCAAAGCAGAGGCTGCAACCTACCTGCCATAGTTGTCAAGGATATTCTGCCATCAGGTGGAAGGCTTTTAAATTAGACAACTGTTCATAGCCCCCTCACCTTGAAGGGTCCGAGATCTAGTTTAGCACTTCAACTTACAAATACGAAAACGGAGAGTAAGCTTTTGCAACAGGATCAACTCCCCTTGCTGAGTGACATGGATTTCTCTCTCTCATTTACACAAACTCTGGTTTACAGACTGTCAAATATCCCCTTGAAATAACTGAAGGCTCTGTAGAGTGTCACAAAACAAGGTAAGGCACTCTTGCATAACTAATTCTAAACATTCCTAGTAAGAAAACCAGAATTTGTGGTACATGCCAAGAGTACAGCCAGGCTGCTAATACAACAAGCACCACTTTGGGTATCTAAAGTTACTGGGCAAATGTCAGATGGAAATGCCATTCTTCTGAGTGGCCTGCCAGATGTCTGTCCCCGGTCAGACATGTGTCACTCATTAGGAGTCACTGGAGCCTTCTCAACAGTAGGTCCTTGGAGAGGAGAAAGTAACAGCATCCTAACATCCATCTTCTTTTGGGGGCACTCACTTAGCAGGCTGAATTGAAAAAAGCATTTAGCCAGAGGAAACCAAGCCCTGAGAACAATCTACACATCTGTGTCTCCAAATTTAGAGTCTGACTGAGTCAAAACTGGAAAATAATAGTGATTAATTAGGAGTGGTCATTGCAGAACACTGTGCTAGGTGCTCTGAAATTAACTGAACTTCACAACCAGCCTTCAAGGTAAGGGTTATTAGTCTCATTTTACAGATGAGAAAACAGAGGCCCAGAGAGATTCATACCCAGCACTGAGAGTGCCAGGATGCAGAGGCCAGTGATCGATGAATGCCAAAGCCCCACAGTTCTTTCTTTTTTACATGAACTAGCTCCAGGACAAAATGCCCTTGACATAAACAAAGGACTGGGTCCACTTGAATCATCCTCACCTTGTCTTTTTGGATAAATATTTTTTGGATGAGTAACAGTCCATTGTTCTTTACTTCAGTTTCCTTAAGACACTGTGTCTGATTCTTAGCCTTGATACTAATCAGGTGGCAAAGGAAACAGAAATGAACCACTAGTTTATGGCAGTGTACTTCAGAGAAATGGGGATTGGAATTTGCCTCTGGCCTCTTGGCATTTCCGAAATGAGGAAAGAGCATTAAGGGGAAAGTCCCAACTTTCCCAGAGTAGGAAGACGTCTGTTGTCTGCCTGTGGGATGGTAAGCCCATTCCACACCCCCTCCATGTCCACGGGGGCAGGAAAAAGATTAGAATGCCAGCCAAGGAATAACAAACAGGCTAGAGAAGGGCCCCTTCTATCAAACTATACAGTAACTGAGCTCCAGAGCCGGACATTTAGTAGCCACTTAATAAGCTTCCTGAATAAAAACAGTTTCCAATAATGCACAGAGCCAATGTCTCTTGATAGTTTTTCAGGTTTAGATGAGAACTCTCTCTGTGGGTACAGAGGCTTTTTTCTTCTACCACTGTGCTGCTTTCACTAGGATGTGAAGAGGTGAGGCTCAGATGGTCTTGTTCATATAGACAGTACTGTATCACAGATAATCAATTCCCTGCATGACTCTGTGGGAACCAAGCAGGGCTGGTCCTTTATGTACACACATGGCCATTTTCCTACTGGATTAAGTTCCTAGAGGGCAAGAGTCTTGGGCATTTTTCTTTTTAAATGAATTACAGTCAAGGTTACATAGCAAACTAGCAGGAGAGTTAATACTAGGAACAAAGTCATCTCTCGCCCTCAATGAACTTACAATCTAATTGGTAAGAGAAGACATATCCACAGTAAACAAAGCTGATCTAGATATGAGATGAGTAAGTACCAA